AGTATTTTGTCCCGGCCCGTCTCCCCCCCAGTATTGTGACCCTTAGGGTTCTCGGTGGTCTATGTAGGCAGCTCTATGAACTTTACTGAGATGAGATTTTCACGGGCAGCTCCACCAGAACAATGGACCCTCTGCAGTGAATCATTGGTAGTGAGGTGAGGGCGGTTCCGGTACTGTGCACATGGACTTTATCGGGTGATTGCACTATTGCTGACCTGGTGTGACGACTCTGAGCCCTCAGCCATGCTGGGCCCCTCTATGCCTGTAGCCATGTCTATCTCCTTGTACTCGTCATTATTGATATGAAATGTATGATGACCGTCCGGTTCTGAACTGACGTCCTTTACCGGGCTGGACAAGTCCCAGAACCAGGCAGCACCATGTGGCTTCTGAGTGACCCGGTATAGGACGTTGGTTGATTGGAACGGCTCCTCAGGGTTGTCTGTGTCATTGTTCTCAGTCTCGGCTCCTCTCCTCTGCAGGACATCAGGAATACAGTAGGGAACATCCCCATGGAGTGGTACAAGGACTTCCCGCACATTGGCTATGACCTGGACGGCAAGAAGATATTCAAACCCCTGCAGACCAAGGACCAGCTGGAGAAATTTCTGGACAAGATGGAGAATCCGGACTATTGGTGAGTGAAAAAAAACTGAGGTCATGTAGGTGGGATCCTGAGATGTTCTACTTCAGAGGAAGTCACATGGAGAGGGGTAATATACAGACTACGGGAACCTCACCCAGGACCCCAGTGCTGTCAGTCCTCCCGGTGTGGCTCCATGACTCGGGGGGTCGGAGGTCATAGCGCCTCCATTTCTATGCTTCATGTCTCCGTCTTTCCTCAGGAGAACCGTTCATGATAAGAAAACCGGACAGGACATCAAGCTGAGCGACGAGCAGGTGGACCTGGTGGAACGGCTCCAACGTGGACACTTCGGGGACACCAAATACGACCCGTATGAGGTGAGCGCGCCGGACTTCCTATAGGATGAGCACCGATTGGTGGTTTTATGAGCCCGCCCCTCACTCTTCCTTCTCTCCTCAGCCGTATGTGGATTTCTTCACCCACGAGACCATGATCCATCCCGTGAGCAACCGGCCGGCCGACAAACGCAGCTTCATCCCGTCCCTCATCGAGAAGGAGAAGGTAAGTGCCCGCCGGATGGCTCGCCTCATCTGTCTCTGACTTGGGGGCCATGTCTCTGGGGGAGGAGTCTGTGTCTCTGGGGGCGGGGGGCCTGTGTCTCTGGGG